AAACAGAACATGCAGTAAAAGGCAACCAACGCAAACAGGCCAACTACAATAGAGGATCTAGCAAAAGATCTTAGACCTCTTCAGGAAAGAGACAAGTAGTACAGAACACCAGCAAATGTGATAAGAACGCCCAGTAACAGATCATACACTGTCAAGCTGGAAAATGGAACTGTTGTAAGGGTAAATCGGAAACATCTCCGGACTGTGTCTGAGAGCAGACACACAAAACACGAATGTCAAGACTGAACAGACTAATTCGAAGATTCATCTGAATGAGGGTTCATTTGAAAAACACTCAGCACACACATAAACAATGTACAGAACATTCAAATAACAGATAGTGTGGTTGTGACTACCAGATGTGAATTGTCAAGAGATTAACATACTTGAAAGATTTTGTTTAAATCTGTTTAATTGATCTAATGACACCTAGGTTAGCAGGATGGGACAGACCATGTATGGTTGAACTGAGAGTTCTGTGTGTGACGTCATTGAGTTGCGCAAGAACGTGGAAGCATGCGTTTGTGAGATTCCTTATTGTCAGAACAAGAAGGATTGACATTGTGATCCAAGCATGATATCCTGCGTGCAGAAATGTGGTGGCGAGGTGGACGCAGTAGATCCTGTCCCTCTACAACACTTAATTAATCGTGCCAAAGAAAGGCAGTGGGCCATTACCAATCCTAGATCTGCGAGTTCTTGAATTGGGCCCTGCAGAACCTGTAAAAAGCAGTCAAATAGAGGACAATCCAATTACTAACCCCGTATGTTGAAAATGAAAATAGAAATTTGATATGGATCATGAGGGATTTATCTCTCAATGATGGGATTCTTTTGTCAAAAACCAAGGTAGTATATCCTGCTAAAGTTCCACTATAATTGATTGGATCTTTGTGGTGAATTGCTGCTGTAGCTTTCATAGATCTCATATGAGTGACAGGTTGGCCCAACCTTACACACATCATCTGTTATTTTAATTGATGATTACGATGCGCACATGACTTTAATAAAATAATTATGTGCACGCATAAATCACTCATAATAAATACTGAAATATTCCATGAAAAATAAGAATTTTCCATTTTGATTTTACTTTGTGAAAACAGCGAGTGCAGATGCTATTCTTTTGCAAGAGAAACAGGGGGTGGCCAAAAACTGTAATCAAAATAAACCATGAGCTTCTGACCTAAACATCTGCAAATGCGTTCAGTTCTAGCCGGATCACACAGTTCGACAGCTGCATGGTTTCTACCCACCAATGGGCTATATGCACGCATAAATTCCGCATTTTACGCAAGGATGCTCGTCCATTTCCGGTTGTGGAGATTAAAGCGGAGGAAAACCGAGGAAAACGGGATTATGGCAGAGTCTTCAAAATTTACTGTCCTCCAGTCTTTGAAATGAAACGTACATACGTTTAGATGTAATTTTATATATAGTTATATTTATTTAATATAATTTTAAAAAGAAGCATAAACACAACGAGGGGTGTCTGTTTTATCTGTTTTTGTGACTAACGTTTCTTTAGTATAACCATGGAGTATAAAATTCAATATAAATTCTCGGTATTGCATTGGACTCTATGATCGGCGGAAGTTATCGAGCATCCTTAATCCTTCACCGGAAATAACGCCGTGCATAGAGCCCATAGCTGAAGATTACACTGGTAAATCCCTGGGATAGGGCACTCTGAGGAGGAGGACCGATTGTGCCCTCTCGTGGACATCCAATGAACAGTGAATCAAGCACTTCGTGTTGAATGAACAGAAAATGTTCTATAGTTTTTTTTTTTTTTTTTTTTAATAAGGCAGTACATACATCAGCAAAATAAGGCAGTTAGCCAAGTCTTCACTCCCCACTTATATATTGCTTTGGAAAACAAGCATCATGTCCTCGCTTGAATGTTAAGTGTTACAATTAAATTGTTATATTACACCTATGCCCATAACTGCATATCTACAACTTAGAACCAAGAAACATACCCATATACAAGATTTCCCAGCAATCACACATTTTTTTTCCAGACTGATATCACAGCATTGAAATTTAGTGTTGTTTCTAAGCTTAATACATTAGAAATATAGGCCAATAATGTATTCAGATACACAATAATGCTAACATGTGTCAGACAAGATTATTATTATTTTTTTATGACAATCTAAGATGTCTTGCCAACTTGCCAGTAGTCCCCTAAAGCAGGGATATTCAATTAAAGTCCTGTCTCTATATTACCTTCCCAGCAGAGGTCCAGACAATACTTTTTTTAAACAAATGAACATCCATAGTACTTTAAAAGAAAAAATCTTAAACTCAAAATAGTTATCAAAGATGGGAATATTGGGCCAAAAGCAGTGAAGTCTAATAATTATTTACCAATAAAAAGGCCTATTCATATTAATATAAATAGATCAGGGCCCGTATTCATAAAGATTCTAAGAATCCTCTTAGAAAACTCTTAATATTTAACATAAAAACTTTAGCTTAAGAAATATTTGGGACCGATCTGAGAACAAAAAGCAAAAACTTGCATCTTATTGAGGAGGTGGGGTTGACCCCGTTGCTATATATGACACAATCTTTTGAAGACTGATTGGTTGGTTGTCCAAGAAGGTAGAAAAGAGTGATTTCAAGTATAGACCATTTCACAAGATGTAAACACTGGTCCAGAAACACTTCCTGTTTCAGTTTGTAACTGTTTTCTTTATTTCACATGTAAAGAAAACATCTTAAAGATGTTTGTTTAACTTTTTGATTCAGTTTTAAATGTTCTGTTGGTTGTATTTTATCCCAGCTTTTATGTAGTGTTAAACTGAAACAGGAAGTGCTTCTGGACCAGTGTTGTTTACATCTTGTGAAATGGTCTATACAGGGTTTACTCTTCCAATTACACTGATTGCTTGTAACACCTTAAACAAACATTAGGATGAAATGGAGGACCAAATTCTTCACAAAAGACATTTTATTTCAAACTGCACGCAAATGATATTGTACTGCCGACTGTAGAGCTGGTGTTGATGTGCTCCACAAGTACTGGTTTGGCCATGGCAGGTCATCACACATGCACTGCTGGGGGAAACAGAACAATGGTTATTACTTGCCATTTTTGGTCTCAAGTCTGCTGCATTTTAATATGGAAGACGAGATTAAATTAATATGGCCTTAATTTACATATAATGTGAGAAATAGGAGTCATCTAGCACACAAATGACAGTCAAAAATATTTAAATAATTTAAACACTGGAAAAGAACTAAGATTAATGTTTATAAGTATTTACAGACTTTTCAGTCAGATATGTTAAATATTATAACTTGACATTGTCTTCCCACACAAAACTTATACACACAATATATATATATATATATATATATATATATATATTACTTATACACACATTACTTATGTTGAAAGCATTTTTCTTTCCTTTTAAAATAATACAACAAATAAATCTTAGATGATCAATGCATTTACAGCAGTGAATAAAGTATGCTACCTAGCGAAGCCTCCTGGCCTCTCTTTCAGACTCCAGAAGTGTCAGAACATCTCCTTCTCTTACTGGGCCCTTCACGTTCCTGATAATAGATCTGTTGCTGTCATCCATGAACTCAACTCGCACCTACGGAAGCACAATAATTTAAGTCTTATGTATGTGGATCAAAAAGTAAACTTAAAAAATAAATTGGTAACATCATTTTGACAGCCACAAAAATTTTTTTTATCCAACTATGATATACATTTATCTAGATCTTGAAGACATGACCAACAACGAGAATTATTTCATAACGTGTCATTCTGATTACAACGGTTTCAATAATTACAAAATTGATCACGCACAAGCAGTGATAATTGCCTCCAGCAAAATTCACTTTAAAATGCAATGCAACTCAGTTCATGCACATCACAAATCGAAATGTTTTTCAAATGAAGTAGCTAATTACATTCCACATGTAATGTTACGTTAACTGAGCATGGGTTAATTCTGAACACACCTGGGTACACTGTCCCTGGGAGCCGGTTCTTCCCAGCACTTTTGTAACCTGTAACAAAGATATACAATTAGAGGTAAATATAACTGACATTATTAAACGGCACATGTGGTGGACACGACAATCGATATCCAAACTGCTGGATTGCAGGATGCTAATGCTAACTAAAGGCCCGCTATTGCGTTGTGGGATGATTTGAAGATTATTAAAGGCTACCGTTGCCAAAAGAAATTGAAACGGTATATTTTCATTTTACAAGTATTAAATTGCAGAATTCAAAGAGAAATACTCAATAAAATGTTTTTTTCTTACTCTAGCGAGCTTGATGGGCTGCACGCGGCTGGCATCCATGATTTCAGCTTCGTTCGGAAAGGAAGTCACGTGGTCTCGACGGGTTTTATGTACCCACAAAAAACTGCTTATTTTCAATTTATCGGGTTTTATTACATGTTACATTTTGATATCATTGTCAAAAATGAAAACAGACCAAAAATTATATATTTTTTAAAATATATATTAATAAAATGGTTTTGAAGTTATAACGACTCTGTTTCCGGTTCCGGGATCGTAAAGGGGGAACTTTTATACTGCAGATCCAGGACCAGCTGTATGAAGACTTCTGAAGATACTGTGGTCTTTTATTATGTCAGTACATTTATATTTTAAACGTTAATTCGACCATAAAATAAAATCAAAATAATAGATATTGGTCTATAAGTAAGGGGATATGTAAAAAATGTTTTATAGACCATTTCACAAGATGTAAACAACACTGGTCCAGAAGCACTTCCTGTTTCAGTTTTTTAACACTACATAAAAGCTGGGATAAAATACAACCAACAGAACATTTAAAACTAAATCAAAAAGTTAAACAAACATCTTTAAGATGTTTTCTTTACATGTGAAATGAAGAAAACAGTTACAAACTGAAACAGGAAGTGCTTCTGGACCAGTGTTGTTTACATCTTGTGAAATGGTCTATAAACTAATGATAAACTGACCAAAGCTTTGTGTAGAGGTGTCATGCAAAAACAACAACAACAAAAAAAAGGCAGCCCCCCCCCCCATACTTTTAGATAAGTTTAATCAAAAAAGAAATTACTTTCTTTCCTGAAAGTTATTTTTAATAGGACTAGATCTAGCTTTTATTTATGTTGTGTTAATATTTTAAGTTTTGTCTGATCACATTGGTGGTAAAATGTGCATAAGAGCACATGTGTGGAGAGGATATGAAAGTAGAGAAAAGGATACAGAACAAAATAAGGAAATTATGGGATTAAAGGATTTTCACATTGGATTTGCACTGAATTGTTTAAATATCAGACTGAGCACAATATTGTTGATTAAAAGCAACATAAATTGAATTTTTCTGTGAGCATTTAATAACCTTAGTATCCTTGCAACTGCTATTTATCCTTTCCCATTCCTCCTCCTGGGTTCAATCCTTAAATCACTACACTAATCCTCATGACTGTATTTTTAACTCTGTTGAGGATAGAAAGAACAGCAATGGGATTATGGCATCAGTGAGGTGGGGCAAATCCCAACTCTTGATCTTCAGTTGAGCCGAAACAAATACAGTTGCTTTTTCCTTTCTGTCTTTTTAGCTACATTGCAAACTCTAAAAAGCTAGAAGCAGTGGAATATGGAAGTTTCAAACAAACGCGCATTTTAAAGGAAAGTGGGACGTGTTGGAATGTAGAATCTGCCTTTTTCTGTTTTTATTTCTAAAAATAAGTTACATTTACATTTGTTACATTTATTTCTACATCTATCAGTTCTATATTTTTTTTACACATTCGTCATCATTTAAGTTACCAAAATGGATCAACCAAGAAGAATCAAGAATCTTAAAATACTGAAAAAGAGACGTTCAAGTCTATTTGCAAGTGTCAAACTTAATGCCAGCTTTTCGCAGAGTATCGAGGAAGAAGACAGTGCCTTTCCTTTTTCACAAGACAGCTCTGTGAAACCTTGGACGTCGATGGACAACCTTGATACTCCATCACCTCAGGCAAGTGACAAAAGAGATCAAGAAAAGAGGAAAAGCAGTGAGACAGAAGCGGCAAAGATGCCACACCGCCATTCAGCTGTGATCAATGTAAATATTGGTGGGAAAGTCTTTACCATTCCAAAGCACCAGGCTATCAAACACCCTAAAACCAGAATAGGCCGCTTAGTCCTGTGTAAAGATCCCGTCAAGCAGCTAACACTCTGCGATGACTATTGTGTGCTCACTAACGAGTTTTTCTTCGACCGAGATCCTACTTTCTTCCACTACATCTTCCACTTTTATTGTAGCAATGTGTTATGGGTAATGGAGAGTCTTTGCCCCATCAATTTTGAGGAGGAAATGCGGTTTTGGGGCCTGCACTTGAGGGACAGTCCCCGCTGTTGCCGCATTCTCTACGAGGAGAAAGTCGACGAGATAAGAGACCAGCTGAAAGTGAACAGGGAGCTCATGGCAGAAATTGAGCCTCAGCACAGTGAGGAGGGTTTCAAGTCAATGTTTTTGGGTGGTGTTCGTAAGATGCTGTGGGACCTAATGGAGAACCCATACTCCTCGATAACTGCCAAGGCTTTTGCTGTGTTCTCCAGCCTCTTTGTGCTCATCTCCATCGTAGCGATGACTCTAAATACTGTCAGCGAACTGAAAGATTATAAGATCTATGGAAGAACCTACATGGAGTGTGTGGAGATCACCTCAATTCTGTTCTTCACCTTCGAGTACTTCCTTCGCCTGCTGACAACTTGTGACGTCAAGCATTTTTTGAAGAGTGCACTTAATTTTGTAGACTTAGTGGCTGTCATGCCTTACTTTATCCAGCTGGTATTTGAGGCTTTTGCTAACCAGGAAGATCTCAGCGTTCAAGATGACCTGAAAACCATGGCGAGGGTTAGCAAAGTTAGCAAAGTGCTTAAAGTTGTGAAACTCATGCGCATCTTTCGCATTCTGAAACTGGCGAGGCACTCGACAGGGATGCGGGCATTTGGCTTCACTCTCCGCCAGTGTTTTGAACAGGTCTGCTGTCTGTTTCTGTTCATTATCATGGGGATCTTCACCTTCTCTGCCCTAATGCATTCAGTGGAGCAGGATGCTGTAGGAACACCTTTTAGCAGTATACCAGATGCCTGGTGGTGGGCAGCGGTGAGTATGTCTCAAAACAGTCATTCACCACAATTAGCACAACTATAGTATGATTCATATATTAATACAAATGGGCAAAAGTATGTGGACATCCAAACGGCACACCTACAGGGGCGAAATTAAGTTGATTGGGACACTTTTTCCGAGTCATCTCAATGGCAAAAAGTGTCCCAATCACCCTGAATTGACCCATGTGTTAAAGTCCCCGTGAAATCAAAATTGAACCTATTTACTTTGTTAGCGCATCTTACTAGTCTTGTGGTGGTGAACCATTAATCCGTGCAAGTAAGTAAATATATATATATAAAAAATGATCATGGTAATCTTTAATCAAAATCTGAAAAGTTACTTCCGGTCTGGATTGGTGTCTTTTTCTGATGACGTAGGTTTGACGGCTTGGGTTGGGAAACGCTTAACCACTCCCCTCAAACCGTTAGTCTGCTATGAGTGAGAGGTGGAGAGGAGGAGCACTATAGTAAAACCCTGCCTTCTGTTCAATATTCACTTGGAAATACGCCACAGCAGTGGAGAAAAGTCGTTTGCAACTTCCGTTTCACGGGGACTTTACCTAAGCAAATAGTCTTAAAACCATGGCTATTATTAGGATGTTGCTGCTAGCTTCATCTGTTCTGGGAATGCTTTCAACTCAATGTTAGAACCTGGATGTGGGGATTTACTCTCATCCAGAGACAAGAGCATCAGTGAGGTCAGACACTGATCTGGGAAGATGGAGTGGGCTCACAGGGGACCAATGGTAATTAGGTTTGGGCTTTGTACTGGTCAGTCTTCTGGTCAGAATGACACGTTATGAAATAATTCTCGTTGTTGGTCATGTCTAAAACTACAACAATAAACATTTTGTTTCAAACTATCACGAAAGTGAAAATTAGAAATGTTGCCTTGCCAACAAACTGAAATAAGTTTCGGTACTAGTTAGTATGTAATATAAGAAAAAAATAAAAATGGCAAAAACACATATCAAAATGACTAAAATAAACATTTAAAATATAAAATAAAAGCTAATTCGGAATATTAATTAATAGGCCTAATAATGCCAAATCAACACTGCTTAGACTCAATAAACAGTTTCATTTGTTTCTGAAGTTCTGCCCCATTTTACACAAATAAATACATAATAATTCTCTTTGGAGACTGTATGGCTGTATTCTTGATTTACTGAACATATCTAAACCTAATTTGAATGGGTTGTCCATGTCTAGACTCAAAATATTCAAAGCTGACATAGACTATTTACATAACTTTGATGCTTAAATATTAAACCAGTGGGCATCATTATATGTGTTTTTAGTAGTTCCACTTGCGTGTGAATGTTTGTTTTTAAAATCATAATCATTATCATCATTTGCTGTGGCTGCCTGTTGTATCCCTCTATCCTCTTTAAATTGTTAGTCCTTATCCTCGGGCGGCTGTGTTTAATCTTATATAATACCTTGTAATGCCACTCAATTGGAGGCATCCATGCTGATTGGAAAAGTTAGATTAGTTCAGAACTTCCTGGAGGCTTACTAAGTATTATACTAAGTTGACTTGCATGCACAATTTTGACTTTAATCACCAAACTGATAAACTGACATGGAAACATACTCTCTTTTGCTTCTTTATTTTCATTTAAAAGCTGGCCTTTGTTGTGTATTTTGCAGTGTCCTGGTCCTCATTTGCAATATATAAATAGACATTGTTTTTTGATGCTGTTACAGGTGAGCATCTCTACGGTGGGCTATGGAGATGTGGTGCCCATATCGTACTCCGGTCGAGTGGTGGCCTTCGGGTGCATATCTTTTGGCATTATTTTGAATGGAATGCCAATCTCCATTTTATTTAACAAATTTTCTGACTATTACGCCAAGTTGAAGGCTCAGGAGTGCACTAATACAAAAGTCCTGCGTGGATTGAACCTCAAGAAAAGATTTCAAAAGAAATTTGAGAACTGCTTCGAGCCTCAAGCTGAGGAGACTGATGAGGACAGTGGACATCCCACTGGCCAGTGTCATCACTGAATGTCCTTGTCATCCACCCTGCCTTCACTGCCCTTGAACAGACAGCTCAGGTTCCCAGCCTGCCTTGAATTTAACAGGGATTTAAAAGATGGGTGAACGCCAGGTTAAAGAAAATTAAGCCATTAGCTTTAAGATGGCTTACAAATGGGATGTCGCTGAGGATCTTGAGGTGAACTTGTGCTAGTTTTTTTTTAGCAGTTGCCTATCTATTCAGTTATCAAGTAATTTCAGACATCAAGTGGATGACCATAAAATGTTATTACAGACTGCAAACTATTATTTGTATCAATCTGTGTTAAAAAGATTTAAAGAAATAGTTCACTTCAAAATGAAAATTGTCATCATTTACTCACCCTCAAGTTGTTTCAAACCTGTATGAATTTCTGTCTTCTGCTGAACACAAAGGAATATATTTTGTAAAATGTTGGTAACCAGGCATTGAAGTACCCCACAGACATCCATAGTATTTTTTTTTCTTCCTATGGACGTCAATGGGGTGAATTAACTGTCTGGTTAACGACATTCTTCAAAATATCTTCCTTTGTGTTCAACAGAAAAAAAGAAAGGAAGTGGAAAGCACTGTACATATAAATACAGACAAAAATCCTGACATTCTGCATATTTTTCTTCCTCAATTAAAACAAGGGATTTTAGAGGATCAAGTGAGACTTATGTGGCCTTCAGACACCTTTGGTATATTTAGAGTGTTGCTTTCACAGTAAGAATGGTGTTTCTGTATAGGTGAGGTGCATATGGATACCATGACATTTCTCAACAAAATTATGCTATGAAAATTGTATTGGTATATTCTCCAGTAAGCACTTTTTCACCCTTTTAGATTAGCCCGCTGCCCAATGCTCATTTGAACTGTTTTTGGAAGGTCTGAAGGGTGATTTCCTGTTTTGTTTAATTATTTTTAATGATGGTTGTTTATAAGACTGTGTCTAGAGCCATATGATTCCAAGAATTAATCGTATATGCCCCCCCCTCCCCCATATATTCTAATATCCATCATATTATCATCGTCATGCATGTCAAACTTATTTTAAAAAATTTCAAAACTTTTACATTATATGATTCACCTTTGCTCTGCATTTAATAACATACCCCAGCAACTTATATTAAAAAACGAATAATGCAAACGGTTTCTTTAAGAGAGAACTAGTTCACTGTATGTATGTCGCCACATAAATAATTTAATAATCATTAATACAATCTTTAGGCTCCCTAGCTGATGCAAAAAGAGACCAATAGACCTAACATTTTTTGTATTTAGCTCTTGCAGAATGCAAATCTCAGAGCTGTTGCTTTCCTTTGTCTTATTGTAAAAGGCTTTGTTTGTATTGTTTTCAGAGTTTTTCCATTAACATCTTCATTTTTTGTCGTCTCTGAAAACAATGTAAAGCGAGCACGTAAGCTACCATCAGTGAGAAGTCAAGTCATCTGACTATATGTCTAACAGGATTTTAGGATCAACAAGACAAACGAAGCCAATGGTTTGAGAGAAATGGTCAACTTCAATTAAGGGAATGTAAAGACAAGAGCCCTTGACAGCTGCATGTTTGTGGCTTTTGTTGTACGGGAAAGATCAGCCTTTGCCACATACCGCAGGGATTTACTGCATAACGGTCAATTATGGGATCATCTATAGTGCATTCAGACTGGAATAACTAATGCAGGCCTATTTGTTTGTTATTTATGTAAAACCCAACTGAGATTATCCCAACTGAGCTTATTGAAAATGATCAGTGGCTAAATGTCATTCAATAAACTGACTTGTAACCATATATATTTGCAAAAAGTTTACTTTTTGAAGTTGTTGTAACAGTGTGGATGAGGGAAGATGCCCACAGTGGAAATTTCCCAATGTTGTATTGAAACATATATAAGTCCCTTAGTGGACGTCTTCCCTCATCTTCCCTGTTACAAAAAATATATAATTAACGTTTTAAATGTGTCTAATTCACAACATTATAAACTGAATAAATCTTTTTATTTTTTCTCTTATATAATTCGTTGTCCCATAGTGAATATGTTTGGAAATGTGTACCCAATTTACGAAATTATTAAATAATAACTACATTCGTGATAATAATTCTTTAAAAAACAACAACAACAACAACAAGAAACACATGCAACAACATTCCACTAGGGGGCTTCTGTCCCATTCACTTTTCACTTCAGAATAAAAACAACATACTTTTTTACCCTAGCAATCTAAATGAATGAATGTGAATAAATCTACAAACAGACATTAAAACATTTAATAGAAAATTCATAAATGACTATTATCCAAGAACAGAAAATTAGATTAGAACTGTTCAGATGGAATAAATCTCACAAATGTAGTGTTCAGATAAATAGTAATTAAATAAAAAATAAATTAAATAAATGTGTTTAGATGACATTTAGTAATATTCATGGCGGAGGCATCTTACCCATCTTCCCCTAATATAAAATAGATGTTCATTGACGTATTTCTGTAAACTCATAAAAGACATGAAAACACAAAAAATGTGACTAGCTATCACAATTCTCCTTGACCCCAGGCAATACAATATATCACAGCTGACATGCTTTATCTGAAATACGTTCTAGTTTTGAAGGCCTCAAAGATCAGAACATGTTTTTCTTCATTCAAGGCCAGATATTCTTGTAAAACCATGCATGCAAAGGTCTGATTGGAAGTATAAAAACCCAAATGTGGTATTGGTAGGTAGCCCGAAGTACCTGAACACACTTGAATATTGTGTATTCTAATTTGATCACCCAAGAAACACCATGAACATTAAGTGGTTTGCTTCTTTAGCTTTATTAAGCCTCCTCGAGACTTCCAAGACTGAGAGTCAAGATGTACGAGTGAAACTCTGTGGTCGTGAGTTCATTCGGATGGTGGTCACATCATGTGGGAGCTCCCGACTCAAACGGAATGTGCTTGATTCAGACCTTCACTTTGCAAACCACCATAGTAGGTTTACTTTCTTCAGACATTGGTGTTATCCATCCTTTTACATATACTGTATATGTAAATTAATACATCATCTGCCCTTTTTCAGGCAACCTACAAAACTGGCTGCACAGAGATCTCTTTGCGCACCAGAAAGCGAGTCTGACTGCTGAGGACGAGCAGTTCCCTGAGAGCGTGACAGAGCATCCAGCCCCCGACCAGCACACAAGCCCACCAGCAGAGTTTCCGGGACACTCCACCACTGTGCAGGTTCTCAGCATGTCCTCCAGAAGTCGCCGTGATGTCGGGCCAGCGGGCATCTGCTGTACTTCTGGATGTACCATGAGTGAACTGATTCAGTATTGCTAAGCTCACAACAGATCCTCAAGAACAGATATAAATATAGATACATAGGCTAATTAACACCTTACCTTGTTAATTGCAACTTTATTGGGGGAGAGCAGGGCACACCCTAACACTTTTTGACTTTCTCAGTTTTTTAAACCTACTCAGGGTTCAGAGTATTTATTTTTTCTTGCATTAGTTTCACACGTCTTTGTCTAGTACAATTATGTGGTGTTGTTTCATTAATTCAGTGTATACTTTTTTCTTGAAAGGATGGAAGTGAAATGTGACAACATGCCCCATGTGAGGGGCACATTGTAACATGACCATGTGACAACTTGAAGTGTTATCTGATCTAATAAAAAAAATTATTCAAGAAAAAACTAAAATATGTTTTCAATAAAATACATTTTTTATTACAAATACATTTTTTTTATTATTTAAAAATAAACGAATTTTTGAGTTTGACAACAAACACATTCACAACATAGGCCTAATAATAATTATTAAATTCTGAACATTGATTCACAGTCTTTATTCACTTCTTCCTCATCACAAGTGTGAATTATATCGCTAAACATCAAAGAGTAGCATATAAGAGGCACATTGTAAGGCAGTGTTACAACGTGCCCCACCTGCACAACTAGGATTTAAACACAGCTTGTGTATTCTGCTACCTGTTAAATAACAGATTGGAGATTAAAATAATATCAGATTTGTCTAATTTTACATAAACACAAAAAACAGAGATAAAAAAATAACATAAGAAATTCACCTTTGAAATGGTTAAATAAATGTTGACATCTTCCAAAGATTTCTGAATTTTGGAGACATTTTTTTTCTGTATATAGTATTGATATGGAAACTAGTAAATACACTAAGTTTCGTCATGCAAGCTTGTGTGGAAGTATTTACAAGTGTGTTACAAGTACAACTAACCCCACATTAGTTTGTGCCCCGCTCACCACAGATTTTTGTAATAAAATATTTTTAAAAAATCACTTGGACAGTGTGATATATTTCCTATTTCCTCAGTTATGTACTTAAAATATCCCAAAAGTTCCCAAAGATGTTTAATTTCAGAAAAATTCCAATTTTAAATAATGGCTCGTCCCTGTTCAATTGTCGCCTGTCAATGACGTAATATCCGCGTTATCACTGGTTTCCACGTGTACTGCCCATGGTACTGCCATAGTAACCACGGATAGACGTGGAACTGCGTAACGTCTTGCTCACGCTGTTGTTGTTTCGTTCAAACATTATGGACCAAGGCAAGCAGACTTTGGGACAAAAGGAGAACTAAAACGAGGATCGTTGACGTGGCGTTTTCGAGATGCCGAGAGCTCCACATCCGCGACTAACTACGACTTCACTTGACAAGGACGCCGCTTTTACATGTAAGTTACTTCAGCCTATTTATACAGGTGAGCAAATGTACATAAAAACTAATCAATGTTCTAAAGCTCAAGATGATGAAATGTTAGAATATGTTCAGTATGTTATTATTCTAATGTTGATCTAGCTTACTGCTAGTCAGCCAACAAACTAACACATAGAATAACATAACTTTCAACACACTCAAATGCAGACTGTTAGAGCAAGTGAAACAGCGCTGTATTGCCTCACAAGTTTTATTTGTCTAATAAACTGACCAGTTTGAGTAGTAATTCAGCACTTGTTGCGGTAGTTCAGTCGGTAGAATGAAATGTCCTTATTCCTTTATGTACGTGGGACTCGCGTGTGGCGCTGATATCTGTCTCTTATATTAGCAATCGCCCTGCTTCATACCAAGTCATGTTAAAAAACATCAATGTATTCACTCATCCATAAACATTTTTAGATCCATCAGCATGACACAATTTCCATAATTCCTCTTTTGCGTCATCAACCTATGCCTTTGTTATTGTAGGTAAAACTTTTCAAATAAAAAGTGGTCTGTTATTTATTGTAATTATATTATTTATTAGAACTGAGCTAACATGAACTAGCAATGAACAGTTGCTAGCAGCCATGAACAGGGATACTCCAACCAAAAATATTTCCAAAAAGAATAATCTGATATTCTGAATGTACAACTCACGTAAAGTTAATTAATATTTGATCAATGACACTAAATAAATCATTAGAATTCAGAATAAAATGTAGTTAAAGGTTCACTACATTTATCACTGTCAATTACATTTTTTCTCTCGAGTAGTTCAACATGCTATATTAAAAATTCACCGCTAGAGGGGGAACCACTAGTAGCAAAAGCTAGGCCTATCTGTTATTACTATTACTTCAAAATCACTTTCTACATCAAACCTTATAAAAAAATACAACAAAACTTGTCATTGCTGCAGTGATCTAAATCAATGCCGAACACATTTTTATACCTTTAGAATGCTTTAGATCAAAGTGATTTCATTTGCTTGAAATGCCTACCAGCAGATGTATATTCAGGCCACACAGACAGGCACGTCAGACCAGCTGTGCCACAACTGCTCTTGATAGCACGTCTTCATTTTCCTCTGGGCATCAGTCTATTACTGTCACTTATTCAACAGTCCAGGACAAATTAAGATAAGGGACTTATGGTGTGTGGCCTAATAGAGGGATCTGTATAAATGAATAGATTGGATGCCTAAATATCCCATGCTGGGAATTATTGTTTTCTAACATCATCAGGTAAGTTTTATAAGTGAATATCAAAGAAATCTCTAAAATATTCAATTACACTGCAAAACACAAAAGTGTCACCAGCGCCTTGGTCCAGGTATTAAAGGAGTAGTTCACTTTTGCAAAAAAAAAAAAAAAACATTTGCTGAAAATTTACTCACCCCCATGTCATCCAAAATGTCCACGTCTTTCTTTCTCCAGTCGAAAAGAAATTAAGGTTTTTGATGAAAACATTCCAGGATTTTCTCCATGTAATGGACGTTTAAAGCCATTTGAAGCTGCAAAGAAACTGTCATTTGGACCTTTACGTTTGGTACCCAATGAAGTCCATTATATGGAGGAAAAATCCTGGAATGTTTTTATCAAAAACCTTAATTTCTTTTCGACTGAAGAAAGAAAGACATGGACATCTTGGATGATGGGGGGGGGGGAGTAAATATATTTTTTTTTTTTAAAGTGAACTACTACTTTAAGTTCAAGGTAACAGAATGACTGAAACCGAACACAGGATTAGCACAAAAGCTATTTTTTAATGAAATAGTAAAACATTACGTAATCGTAATTTACGTACATCGTAATTTGTACCGCAATTTCATCGTATCTTTTTTGCGGTACCAGATGCACTGCAAAAAAATTGCGGTTTACCGCATTGATGTATACACTCATCATTCTACGCTTTCACAGTGCGTCCATTATGGGAAACCGGGAAATAAGAGCACAAAGTTTGAACGTGAAACGGTGTTCACGTTCATGGAAACGATTTATTACCTATGTCACAAATGGTTTACGCAGCAAAACGTCCATAAAGAAGCGTAAATACAGAGGATTATAAAGAGACAAAAAAGCGACGGGACCAAAAAGGAAGCAAGACGAGAAGCTTGCTGGGGAGAGACCCTCAAAGTCCCTGTGAAAACCAAAGTTACGCAATCTGTCGAAAAGTGAGTGATGTTTTACAGCACTTTTTCTTGTGTTAAATTGTTAAACCAGCGTTTTCCAGTGTATTTTTTTTATGTAGGCCCCTCGGCCCAGTAAGGCCTTTTAAGAATACCAAATATAGGTTAATTTTAACTTGTAGCCTATTATAAATTGTCTCTTTTCCTTATAACGGAACCGAATGCATTGACAAAACGTATCGAAATGAATAATGTTATTTAGGTAAGAATTATTATAGTCCTGATCAGTCAAATTCATTAAAGAAAGAAGACATAGTGTAAAAACGTTTGAGCTTGCAGCATTAGTCTCTGTTTTTTTTTTTCAAATCTCACATCCCAGTGTAAACAGACTTCACCCACTCCCACTCCACACTCCTCTTATCTGCTTTCCTGCCCCTGCACTTCCCTTGTGAGTGAGTGGGTGTTCTCACTACAGCTGCCATGCATAATTAAGGATGCAGTGGAGGTGTACTGCAGTGGTGCTGAGCTGCAACACCATTACAGGCCGCTGCAACGCTTGTGCCTCACAAGTGACCGTGTTAAACATCAGAGGAGTAGAGATTCCTGTTTCACGCATGTATTCCCTCAGTAGCTGCTCAGAGAACAAGCATATATAACTGTGCTGAGCCCAGTTTAGATTGCTGCTATTTAATGCAGAAAATGCAGAACATTGAATTCAACATAGATTTGTGATTGTATACACAAACTGCCTGACACTCTGACAAGCACTACTTGCAATTATATAGTGCACACACTGAGGGATGTCCTCGCAGGAGATCTCTTAATAGGTTCTGCTTCACCACTGAGACTTGATCACAACGTGTGGTCCCTCTCAGCAATCAAGAAAACACAAACCATTAATATTAATTGGATGCTGTCTTGCATGCATATGTTATAGATTAGTGCAGTAAGCTACTGCGGTACAGTGCTGAATATTTTTTCATCAGCTGACCTCATAACTTTTCTGTAATAATAAATACAAAAAAAGACTGGAAGAAATCTATTATATTATTAGACCAATGAATTTTCCATGGCTTTTCAAAATCTGCTAAATGTAAAATGTTTGACAAGCCAAACATGCCTCTTATGTAAACAAAATAAACTTGACTAAAGAACTATGCCAAAATCATCTGGCTGTCTGTTGGAATATTAGAAATAAAAACACTGACATAACACATTCATGGGCCTCAATCACTTCACCGAATACTTGCTGACTAAGAAATAAATAATTATTACCTTACAATCTGTCTGTTTTCAAATCCACGTCATTTGAATATTACAACATTGATGTCTGTGCGCGCACAATACATTTTAGTATTTAGAAGAAGCAGAGGTCTGACAGTGCGTGCATTTTGTGGAAAATCTACACTACCTAATGTTTTTAATGCATCATCGCTTTCCAAGAAGAGGGAAAAAATAGCGGCCCTTTAACGTGTTGTCTGTCAGAAACAATAATGTGCACAATAACAAGGGTTAGTGTAAGGGTTTTACATTTAAAGGGATAGTTCACCCAAAAGTGAAAATTCTTTCATCATTTATTCACCCTCAAGTTGTTCCACACCTCTATGTGTTTAGAATTTTCCATTATTGACCATCCATTTCCCCTTACAATTTTGTCAATATATTTTAACTGTTATATGAGTGATCTTGAGATTGGTCTCTGTAGTCATCCAATTTGAAACATGCTAACTCGACAGATAATGTAGTTTGATCACAATATTCTCAGTTTAAAAGATTAAGGCAATTATCAAGGTTTGATAAAATGTTTAATTTCCTAATAAAAGATGAGAAATATTTACATGATTTGTTAGATTTTATTTCCCCTTAGCA